GTTCCAGTGATTGGCCTGATAAGCACAGACCTGGTGGCACCAGTGACAACAGTCCACCACACCTTGTTAACAGGAGAATGGAGACATCCAAGATCTCAGTTGGGGACTCTCAAGTGTAAACTACAGAGGTGAAAGGGGCAGAGAGGGGCAGCCAGCTACAAGCAGGTGACTGACAGGAATCTCATCTTTGTTCACAGCTCCCTGCCTGCCACCAGCAAGGAGCCCGGGAGTGAGTTATTAAACACACCAGACTGAAGTGAAGAAACACCATCTCTACAGTCCAGATGTTCCTTCTCTGCAAGTGGCCAAGCCAGTTCTGCAGCTATTGGTCACAGTCAGCTTGCCTCCAGGTGTCACAGGTCTGAGACTGATCACCTTAAACTAGCAAGCTCCTGCATATTGACATCCTATTCTGCACACGCATGTGGAAATGGCCATTCTTGGCATGAGAGTGCTCAAAAACTCCAAACTCTGAGCCCAGAGATAATAGCATTAAAGGAAACGTCACAAAACTAGGGAATTCTGATCAGATTGTGTGTGTGTGTGTGTGTGTGTGTGTGTGTGTGTGTGTGTGTGTGTGTCCTTCTTACTTTGAATCACTCCAGCTAAAGAAATTGTCCTTTCTTTTCTGCCTTTTTTTTTTGGGGGGGGGGTGTCGGGTAGGTTCTCATGTAGCCCAGGCTTTCCCTGAGCTGTCTATGGAGCCAGGGATGATTTTAATTGTAGATCCTCCTGTTTCCACCTCTGGAATGCTGGAATGACAAGTATTCACCACATCTAGCTGGAAATCTTCCTAGTACTGTAGGAGGGCAGCCTGAGGGATCCCCTAATTACCACCTCTGTCCCCTAGTAGTCACTCAAGCAGTGTCATCCCTCCCCTATGAAGGGGCGGAGCCTAGGCTTCCTCCACAGAATCGCAGGAGTTGTAAGTCCTCATTCTCAGGGTAAGTTTCGGCTCTTCTACATCTGCCTTCAGTCATTCACACTGTGCAGTCTGTCTGCTGTGTAAGAAGCAGCCCCGTGGAAAGGACCACGTGGCCTGTAAACAAGCCTGCCACAGCCCAAGTGCTTAGAAGTGAGTGCTCCAGGTGAGTCCCCAGACGTGCACACCATGTTAGCACCACTTTGTGAGAGACCCTGAGCCAGGGGCACTGCACTAGACAAGCACAAGTACCTGTGGCAAGCCTGGGGACAAAGTGTTATTCAGCCAGTGATGGAGAACGAACCAGGCATGGAACATCATGGGCTGGGTCTTGGTCTTTTCCGGCCCTGTTAAAAGCAGCTTTGAACCTCATACTTCCAAGCCCGTGTCCACAGCTGAGCTGTAAGCCTGTGGCTCCTTTGATTGACTGTCTGAATGTTAGTATGGATTGAAGTCACAACTCAGCGTAAATTGTTGAAGGTGCAATTCTTTTCTCTAACATACCCACATATTGGTGAAATTTGAGGGGTGTGGGTCAACCTCAGGCTAAGAATACTATGTGTAAGTCCTGTGATATGTGGTGGGGGGTAGAAACAAGGGCCATGCATATGCTAGACAAGTGTCAGGTCTTTTTTTTTTTTTTTTTTTTTTAATTAATCTGGGAGCTAGAGAGATGGCTCAGTGGTTAAAAGCACTGATCTCTTTTCCAGAGATCCTGGGTTCAATTCCCAGCACCCACATGGCAGCTCACAACTGTCTGTGCCTACAGTTCCAGGGAACCCAGCACCCATGCCAAAACACCAATGCACATAAAACAAAAATAAAATAAACTTTAAAAATTAATCTTTATTTTTTAAATGTAGATGGGTGTTTTGTCTGTGTGTGTGTGTGTGTGTGTGTGTGTGTGTGTGTGTGTGAGTACCACATGCATGCAGTGACCTCAGAGCTCAGAAGAGTGCATGGACCCCTTGAACTGGAATTACAGATGGCTGTGAGCTGCCATGTGGGTCTGGGAATTGAACCTGGGTCCTTTGGAAGAGCAACCAGTGCTCTTAGCTGAGGAGCCATCTCCTCAGCCTGCCAGTCAGGTCTTAAACATGCAAATGTGTGATTGTTGTCTTCACTGAGTCACTAAAGTCTGGCATGAATATGTGAACAACTGCCAAGTCCTGATTTAAAACCCTTCAAAGGTCCCCACCGCTGTAAGTAGAAAGGTCAGATTCTTTCTGACAAGACTCCTGGGGTCACCTGTGTAGCCTGACCTTCTCAGACCAGCCCCTGTCCTTCCCTCCTCCTGTGGGGAACTCTGCCAAGCTCACTCATCTTTCCACTCCTGTTAATCTCAGACATCACTCCCTCCCAGCTCTCACACTCAACAGTCAAGGTCAACTATGCCCTGCTTCCACCCACCACAATGGATGCCTAAGGGCAGAGAATGCATGCATTTTCCTCAGCGCTGCAGCATACAAAGGTGCTGGAGTCTGAGTTGATTGACAGGCTGCCCACTGCACATGCCCATCTACTGGCACCTGGGCCTCGATCTTGAGAGCCCAGAAGGGTGACAAGGCCAACAGCCAGGATGGCAGGACAAGTGGGAGTCACACCCACCTCAGGAGCATCCTCAAGGGCAGAGCTGGCACCTGGCCTTCCCAGAAACAGGAATTACTAGTCTAATGTTCTCCTACTGTGAAGGACATCAGAGAGAAGCTTTGTCCAGTATCAACACCAAGGAGTCTTTCAAACTCCCTTCTACTGGTCACCCTGGAAACACAGAAAACAAAACAAAACAAAACAAAAAAACAAACAAACAAAGAGCTAGCTTCCCAGGTGGGGTGCTGAACACCTGTATCTTGGCGATGTCCCCATCTCCACATCTCAGCCTCTTGTCTCCTTCCAGTCTCTGGCTTTCTTCTTCAGCACATCTGCCACTTTCCTCACCTCCCACTAACTGGTTTGTGAATACCTTGATCCTCCACACTGGCCAAGACTGTCCAGTCAATACTCAGCAAGAACCAAATGGTGCCAGCCTGGAACCTTGGCACTCTTCTGTCCCCAAATTGCCTTAAAGCTCATCTGGAAGCCAGAGGCCTAGGAGGGGACCCAGTGAGTTCTCAGGACTGTTTCCTCTTGCGTTTGTGTGTGCTGTGAAGTCCACAGCACTTGGGACACAGCACATACCAAGTGCTCATAAAGCCAAGTCAGGAAAATTGCAGAAGTGACCCCAGAGTGAACAAGAACAAGACTTCCTTTCCAAAGTCTCTTGATTGGGGACAGGGTTCCAAGCCTCATGGGATGCCGTGTCTCCTCTGGTCATCCCTCACTTCATTCCCAGGGACTGGTTTTTAGTGTGGTTGTTTGGTTTCTTGTGGTACTGAGGAGGGAAGTCAGGGCCTTACACACTGATCCACTGCCAGGTTCCACTGTCCCAAGACCTGACTATGCACCTTTATTGTGTACCTTGTGTTTTGTAAGGCCAGCTTTGCAGACAGCACATCTGCAAGAACTGGCCTTTGCTGAGATTTGCCAGGACCACCGACCTCCCCATGAGTCTACAGTGCTGGTTACCACATGCCTGGGCTCCCTCACTGTCAGTGTGCTGCAGAGAACAGGATCAGGTGGGGAACACGCCTGCAGACAGGTTGCCTTTGAACACCTCAGGGGAATGAAGCCCACCTGGCTTAGAGCATCTGCATATGGTTCACACCAAATCCACACCTGCACAGTCTTAGACACCCTGATGACAACCAGCTACACGTGTGCAAAACATCAAAAGATGGAGAGGCAAAAATAGAAAAAGGTGGAAGGAAGCCATCTGTGTCAACAAACACATGCTAAACCCCTGCTAACAACACATTACAAACATGTAAGGACACACTTGGCATCAGCAAAGGATTACAGTACACCACTAACCCACGAAGCTGCAGGCAAACATGGATAGTTTTGAGTCCTACAGTTCACAGCCCTAACACCAGAATTCTTACATTGACACTGACCGGTTGTAAATAAGTGCATAAATGTTTAAGAGCCATACCATCAAATGTTTTGACTGTGGCATTATTTGGGAAGAAATAAAATTGAAATGTTACAAAACATTTTCTGTGGTTACAAAATTTAACGTGGACTCCCTCTCCCCCACCACACGAAAAGACCATATTGGTGTGTGTGGGGGGGGGTTGTTTCCCAGGGGCAAGCATGGGTGTTCTGGGCGTGCCATGGGCTTCCACTCTCAGACCTCACCAACCCACGGGCTGTACTCCCACTGTCCCATCAGAGGTACAGAGCAACTTTATGGTTGTTGGTCCTGGAGAGAAACTCCTGGTACTACAGTCCTGAAGGGCTGTCCTAGAGGGTTCCCTGGAGGTTCAAAGTCATCCTACGCTCAGCTCAGAGTGGATTTTTCTTTTTCTGTCTTTTTTTTTTTTTTTGAGTTTGAGACAGGGTCTCTCTACACAGCCCTAGCTGTCCTGGAACTCACTATGTAGACCAGGTTGGTCTCAAACTTAGAGATGCACCTGCCCCTGCCTGCCAAATGCTGGGATTAAAGGCTTGTGCCTCCATGCCTGGCTTGGAACAGCTTTTAAAAACCACACGGATGTAGAGGAAATGAAGCTGGTAGCCCTACTGGGCCGCTTCAGATTTCACTATTAAACTTGGGCAAGATTTTGTGTGGCCTTTTGTTTTTTTTTTTTGATCCCCACCAGGACCCAATTCCCCTCAATTCCCGCAGCTTTTGAAAGTCCATACAACTGCCTGTGTGTGCAGAGGCATGTAAATTCCCTGGATCCGGAGAAACCTCAGTCCCTGGCTAGGTGGCTTACCAGCTGCGTGCCCTTAAGGAGCACAGGTCAGTTTCTCATTCCCCAAATGGGCTAGCCTACCCAGGATAACTGGTGAGGTGTGCGCCTTGAGCGGGGTCGAGCTGCTTCTTTTGAAGCCTGCTTCTGTTCAGAGTCAAAGGAGGTGCTGAGCAGAATCTCAGTGCCCAATGACACATGGGGTTCCGGGGGTCAGATGTTGGCTCTCAGGGGACAAATGTGGAGTCCTATCCCATGCCTCGTACCAGATCGCTCAGACTCACCAGGGTCTCCACCTCGTCCTTCTCCAGCGCCTTGTACCGGTGGTCCTGACCCAGGAAGGCCAGTTTCTGCAGAAACTTAAGGCGTCTCCCCATGGTGAGCGGGTGTCCAGGCTGCTCCACGGCCCGGCGTGAGGCCGGTCGCAGTCCCTGCCCGCGTCCCTGGGGCCCAAGAGAGGCCGCGGCTGCTGCGCGCCCAGGCTTCCCGGGCGGCCAGGTTGCCCGGGTGCTGTCTACCTGGTCCCCAGGTGAGCTCCGCCCCTGGGCAGGGCCGCAGCGGCACCGCCCTCTGCACAGCTGGTCCGCCCCGCCGGCGCCAGGACCCCAAACTCCCAGGGTCAACCCCAGGGATTCTGGAAGGACCAGGAAGCCACTGTGTGGTCTCAGAGCTATGGTTCTTGTCCAAACCTGCCCTGCCGTGTAAGAATCACCTGGAAGGGGGAGGGTCCTGAGCCAAAGCCTTACTTGGGGTAGTGTAGCTCTGAGCCAGTTCCCTGGTCTCTCTGAGCCACCTGGCTACATCTGTAATTGAAATGGAGCAGAAGGCTGAGACCTTACCTATAGGAACTGTACACACACACACACACACACACACACACACACACACACACACACACACAAACACCATAACAATTTAGGTGTGCCCTTAGGAGCAGGGAAACTGTGGAAGATCTCCAACTTTTATGTTCGCCTGTCGTGCACACTCCTTCCTTGCAAATGGTGGGTGAGTGCTGTATATTTCCTGAATCTTTGGTTATTGCCCTGCCAAATAGCCATCAGGAGAGTACCCTGTTCCCAGGAAACCTGGGGGTCCTGAAGGTAGTGTGATGGGGGTATCATGCAGGGCTCACACAGAACATGCTTGTGTCAGCAGCATGCTAGTACACTGTGGTGGTCAGAGGGGTGTCACGCAACTCCCAAAGGCGCTGCAGGAACAGGTGTCATGTAACTGCTTTGGGTTGCCCAGTGTGTACTGAAGAAAACCAGAAGGCTTTAGGGTGGACCAGGGTCCCTAACTCCACACAACAGAGGTGGCCCTGGAGAAGGCTGGGCCATGCTCCATCCTGGGTTTACCTTTGACCATAGGCAATCAATCAACTGACTGGATTGTTTGTGTGACTAAAATGTCCCCTTTGAGCAAATATTTGCCACCTGCCTCACTGGCTCCCCCAAGTGGTGACCATTCCAGTCCTGGTCAGCCTGATGGGATACTTCAGATGGCTTCATGCCACCCCTCTGTCTTCCTGTCTTAAAACCAAAGCACCTCTCTCATGCTGCCCATCCCCCACCACAAAGTGCCTTCATCACACTGTCCATTCCCCACCACATGCCTGCTTCCATCGTGAGACCCCTCCCTCAGCATGTGACCACTCCCATCCCCAGGTCCATAAAAAGAGGAACTACTGAACTCCCTCTACTTTGCAGTCCAGGCCACGTAATTCCAGATGTGTGAGCGTGGGTGACTTTTCCCACCTCTCCATGAAGAGAGAATGATACTACCTATCTACCTGTATGAACTGGGGTCCCAGAAGGAAACAGCACCCTGAAACTGAGTGATCTGTCCCCAAAGATGTGGTCACAGGGGAAGTGGACAGGACCTGAAGTGACAATAGGGCCAATTGTGCATGTAGGGCCTCCTGGAGAAGGCAGCTAGAGAGGAGAGAGCCACTGTGTGCAAATGTGAGCCTCTGGGGAAGAAAGCGGCTCTGAGGAGAAGCCAGAAAGTCATCAGTGCCTCCTTGTGGGCTGAGTCCCTAGGAGAAGGGTAAGAAGGTATTCTGTGAAGCAATAGAGAAACTTCCAGGGCCTGTCGTGTTGCTGGTGAATGCTTGTGCAGTGTGAAACCTGTGCCCCTGCCTAACACTGCCCCACATGAGTTCTCAGGAGTCTGAGGCTCAAGTAGAGAAAGAACACTTGGGAACTTGGCTCCGTTATCTCCTGGGTCTTCTGCAGGTTGCCTCCTCTGGTTCTAAGAAGGATACTGTGTTGGGGTGGAACCTCTCACATTCCCGGGGGTGTTGCTGATGGGGCAAGGCAGATGCTGGCATCAGCAGCAATGGGTTGGTTGGTCAACACCTCCCCTGAACAGCCCAGCTCCTGGATTCCATCACCACAGTCCCACTTTCACCAGAGGTGTAGAGGCTAGAATTTGTGGGCAGGCATGAAAATGCACAGGAAGTGTGAGATGGGACACTGGGTGGTGGATGTCATGGAGCATCCCCAAAACAAAGCAGATCGTGCTGAAAGATCAGCATGGTGACTGGGTGGGCACACTCAAGCTTTGGACACTGAGGTTTCGGTTTGCGTTGTGGTGAGGACATGTCGTCCATACTCAGCTCTGCTAGAGTTTAACTTACTGAACCCTTGTCACTGCAGGTCATGTTCTTAGGACATCTTCACGACACTGTTAGCTACATGCAAAGTGTGTTGTTGGTGAGCTGACTCTGTGAGCTGGAGCTTTCTGGTCCTTTGGGTTTTTTAAATTTGTAGCTATGTGATCTCACAAAGGGGGGGAGTTCTGAAGTTTCCTTTCCAACTGTTCTTTTGTCCCATCGAGTTTGCTCTTCCCATATTAGTGTGTCTGGCTGGCCTCTCTCCACCTCTTTCACGCTTCATGCCTGCTTTTTGAGATGAACTCTCTCCATCTTTCATCTTTTACTTTGATCTGGAGTAAGCAGGGCTCTCTTACAGGTGTCCCCAGCATTGACACCTGGAGCTTCTGTTTCTTTTCGATCTTTCTGCTTAGTCTTGTCACTTGGCATACCACGGTTGTTCCTATAGACTCTGAGAAGTTTTCATTATTTTCTTTCTGTCTTCACCTTGGAAGATTCTAGAACCCACATTTTAAGGAATATCCTCAGACAAAGCAACCAGCTGGGAATTCCTAAGGGGTGCGTGTTGGAGATGGCCCTGACAACTGGGCCAGGGATAAGAGCCAAGGGCAGGGCCTGACTAGAAACATGTTGCCTTTCTTGAAATGTCTGCTCTGGACACCTTGAGCAACGAGTGAGGTCACACCAGTCACTCCCTTCACTCTCTCCTTGGACGTGGAGCCCTTTCATTCTGCTCCCAAGAATGCAGCTCTCAGAGCAGGCTTGACACAGTCTCAAGACAGCTGAAATTTATTTGGTCGTAAACTGCACTCCCGGGTTTGACAATTGAGGGCGTCCCCTTCAGAAAGGGCTTGCTGCCCACAGGTGTATTTCAGACATGTTTTAAGATTGTTGTGCAGGGCTGTGGGGAAGGAGCCACAAGCACACCAGGCTCTGTCCCTTCCTCTCCTGGTGGGTGAGACAGATTGCCAGGTTACGGTGAACATGTGTGGTGCAACACTAGGCAGTGAGGTAGCAGGCTGAATAACGGCTGGGTGAAGACATGTCCAGCCCTCATGTGTCGTTTTGTCAAGTAGTGACAAAATGCCTGACAAAATCGACTTAAGGGAGGATTTGTTTATTTTTTACCCACAGTTCCAAGAAATACATTTGATTGTGGTGGGGGTGTCGGGGGAGTCCTGGTGTCAAGAGACTGAGACAGCTGGTCACACTGCCTCCACAGTCAGGAAGCAGAGAGAGAAGGATGCTGGCACTCACCTGATTTTCCCTTTTCAGGAAGCCCAGGAGCTCAGGAGCCCAGCCCAAGGCTTGGTGCTACCCATATTTAGGGTGGTTCTTCCAGCCTCAATTAACCTAGATACCCCCTCAAAGACAGGTTCAAAGCTTTGTTTCCATGGTGATCCTAATCATGGAAAATCCTATCATGTTAGCCATCACATTCAAGAGTGGGCCTTTATCTGGAATGAGGATCTTCATAGATGCACTTATCCTAAGCCTCTGGGGTAAATTCAACCTGGGCTGACTATTGTTCTTGTTGTGGGGTATTCCCCAGAGAAGACTGCTGGGACATGGGCTTAGGTCAACAGAAAGTCTTTATTAGCCAGTTGGTGGTTACACTGGGTATTCAGGATTCCACTGTAGCACCGAGTTTTTTTGTTTGTTTATTTTTTGTTTTGGTTTGGTTTTTGATTTTTCAAGACAGGGTTTCTCTGTGTAGCTTTGGAACCTGTCCTGGAACTTGCTTTGTAGACCAGGCTGGCATCGAACTCACAGAGATCCACCTGCCTCTGCCTCCCAAGAGCTGGGAATAAAAGTGTGTGCCACCACCACCCGGCTGCACTAAGTCTTTCTCAGGGTGAGCTTTTAAGCACAAACCATGTTCTGGGTTGACACACTTCAGTTAACAAGAACAGGGAGCCAGAAGTGGAACTGCAGAAGCCAAAAAGTTAGTACACTTACAGACTTTCCCACAACTATGGACTTTGATGGATTAGGCCTTTTTTTTTTTTTTTTTTTTTTTTTTTGGCAGGTGGTGCTGGACATGCTGAGTTTTACAGCTTGAGTGGCACTTCCGTCATGGAGTCAGTTGTGCTAAGGTCTCGGGGCCTACTAAACCTAGGACCCTGTTACCATTCTGACTCCAGAACTGGTGATGTCATCAGAAGTGACAGAAAGGGAAATAGGTGGTGAGGAAGGCTCAGAAGCTGAAGTGTCACCAAGGAAGACCTGAGGTCACCCAAACTTGGAAGGAGCAAGAAGGATCCTGCCCCAGAGCCTGCAGAGTGTGATCCTGCCAGGACCAGATTTCAGACTGACTTCAGTAACCGAGAGAACAAATACTGAGATTTTGGGCCATGCAAGTAGGTGCTGTCCACTGTTACAGCCCAGAGCCAGGGACAAGCAGCCATGCCACGAAGGAAGTATTATGTTAAAAAGAGGTAACCCAGGCTCAGAAAGACAAATATTGCATTTTCACTCTCAAACATAGAACCTAGCTTCTAATTATCAAAAATGAGTGTTTGTGGGTGACAGTGGAAGCCAGGAAAGGAAAGGGGTCCGTGTGACAGAGGGAGGGTACGTGAGGGAGGGAGACCAGTAGAACACGTGTGAAAGTAGACAGGAGAATTCTGGGGGGGTGAAATGGTATAGCAGGGGCAGGGCTGGGGAGCAGAGAGATGGGGGAGGATATGAACCCCCATAATGAAATTTGTATACTAAAAAAGGGGGGTAGGGACCGGAGAGATGGCTCAGCAGTTAAGAGCA